CATTTTGTTTGGCCGCTAATATATTTATTGTTACAGTTCTCTTTATAGTTATTGTTCTTGGTGTAAACGGGTTTTTAATTTAAAGACACAACTTAGTAGTAGGTTTTAGCATCACACTAAACTAGTACACTGGCAGCATGCAAAACATCTGAAGCTGCATCTCTTAATTCACCCCCTTTAAGGCACCATTGCTTAAAAAATCCAGATAAATTAGTCAGCAACTAATTGATTGGTCAGTTGCTTGATGACTAGCTGATCATCCAGCCCATTCCTACTGCCCAACTTTCTTTATCCTTTGTCTCAGTTCTTACCATTCTTCCTTTTCCTCTGTTTTGTTTCCTACAGGATTAATCTCTGACACATCCTTAGCTAAACTATGCTTCCCAGCTATCTGTATTTTAACAGCTCAGCTGATCCAGGACCTACAGTGAGAGGAAACATCAGGAAAGAGGCCCTCTGTAAACATTTAATGGCAGCTTTTAATTATTGCAAAAAGGGAATGCGTCCACATGCTATGCAAGGGAGGAGCAATAGATGGCACACATAAGTGAGGCCAGACGCTACCCAGCTGCTAACAACAACACGTCTACTGATGAAGGAATGAGAAATAATTACAATGAGATTCTCATATGATGAAATCATACACTTGAATCAGCATCATTAGGGTCAGAAGTCCCACTTACTGAGACTGAGGCTTTATTCAAAATGGCATATTTCCCTACTATAAAGCAGGTGCAAAATAGAATGTGAAAATAGTGTTTTGCTAGAATTCACAGTATTTTAGTAGAAAAGTATCTGGATGACCTACTACTTCTGACAAATTCTGACAAAAAGTGCACACTTTGATATCCCAGGATAGGTCACATGACAATGACAACATGGTGAATGTAGTACATTGTGATTAAATTCACACTACACTAGACTTGTGCCGGTATTCGGTAATGCGATGTATCACGGTAATGGATATGCACGATATTGTTATCGTGGGCACTTCTAAATACCATGAATAATTATATATTACAAATTATTCAGAATTTTGAATGCATTTTAAGAATAATTTTCCCATCAACTGGTCAAAATGCACAACACCGCTGTATGCTGCGTGAAAGACGCCTGCGCACTCTGATGTAAACAAGTGCGGACGAGAAGCACATGCGGAACATGCGAGCGACGCTCTGGATGAAAGCGCACTTTCACTCTCTGACAGCAGATGGTGCTACAGGGAGACGCTGTGTGTTTCTAGGTGAAAGCAAAAGCACTTTATTTGGCCTTCCGGAAGTAGATGCATTTAGGAATCTTTAAGATTACTTACAACAGAACAGCAATGCATTTTATGGACGTTTCGTGAACGTCCATAAAATGAATGAGGAGGATGAGGAGGAGAGGAGGTACTTCTGACTTTGCTATGACAATCTGGCGCTTCTGAATCAGCTACTGTTTTGTTATTAGTTTAAGTATTTGCTATTGACTTTTCAAATGCGGAGTTTTGCACATCGTGTGTGTGTGTGCGCGCGCACGCGTGTGTGTGAGAGAGAGAGCGTCACATCACAGTGGAGTCAGCTGTCGTAACCGTGGCTTGTGTACTGCAAACACATACCAGCTTCATCACTGTGTCTGTCACGCGACTCTGTTCCCCTTTCGTGCTCTGTCTTTACATTTATTTTGAAAGATGAAGCTCGCGATTATGGTAAGGGGCGTTACATTTCCGACGAGTGCTTGCGGTGTTCGGCCAATCACAATGCACTGGGTCAGCTGGCCAATCAGAGCAGACTGCGCTTGTCGGAAGGAGGGACTTTGTAGAAAACGAAGCGTTTGAGAGAGGCGGGGCATAGAGGACCTACAATAACGTACAGTATTTGAAAAAGAATGTGTTTTTTGAACATTAAAGCATGTCAACATATTCTGTTACACCAAATACACAAAATAATGATCTTTAAAAAAGCATCATATGACCCCTTTAACATTAGTTAATGCATTAGTTAACATAAACTGCCAATGAAAAATTCTTCTGGACATTCATTAATCTTAGGTATTCCAATATTCAATAACACGTTAAAATCGGAAGTTGCAACTGTGTTATTTAATGAGCTAACATGAACTAAGACTTGTATTTTTTTAACAAAGATTAATAACTTCTGTAGCAAATGTAGCTATTGCTCGTTGTGAATGTTAATGAATTAACTAAGGTTAACTAATGAGGTCTTATTGTAAAGTGATACCTATTGGTCTTTATAGTTCTTTTGCACTTTAATCTGTGTAAAACTTTTAACTTTATAAATTTTTCTGTATTGCTTTATTGCATTGAAATGTTCGGTTATTTTTGTTATAAGAAAAGTTATTAAACCTGTTATACTGTATTATGAGAGCACTTTTTTAAAACTAAATTTCAATATCGTGATAATACCGTATACCGTGATAAAAGCATTAGCAATTAATCACAACATTTGATACC